ACACACACACACACACACGAATTCAGCTGAATGTAGAGGTGAGGGCCTGAATGTGTGTCATCTTTAGGTGACAGAATAAATACACCCATTCATTACTCAATGAATAAATTGTGGGACTAAATTCAATAATATGGCTTTAGTTGGGCATTTTTATTTCTTGTAAACTGAGGCCAAAGTATTGAGACTGTTTGTGTTTTTTGAGTGCTGCTATATCTATCCATCACGCCTCATAAGTTCATAAGTCACTGCAGTAGCGCACCCAGTGTACCCTTCCAGAATCAGAATATTTCCTTGAAAGAAATATTATGGCCTGTTGTTGAAATTATAATATGTTCTATATATATAATGATAAATTGTGGATGTTTTGCTATTTGCCCACAGATGTTACAGAAATGATTTGTTTTATCTTTTAGGTGTGGATCAAAAATAAGAAAAGAAATATACGATTTCTGTCTGATTTTAATTTTCCTGTCAAAGGCCCAACACAGGAGTCTCTTCCAGGGGTTCAGCTACCTAACGGATGCCCTTCTGTGAGAGCAGCAGTCCAAAGGAAGTATGATTATCATAATGGCGGAAATACACATCAGCTACAACAAGGCCTCTACACTGATACTCTCAGTCAAAATACACACAGATTGACCTTGATTTAAGGTCAACAGCTTCAATAAAATTTTTAAAAAAAAACCCACGATCATGGCCTTATTTCTCTGGATTTTTCTTACTATAATGCTTAAAAGGAACAATGTAGTTTGCCTGTTTGCTCCTAATGTGATTGGTTAAATTCAGAGAACAAATGTCAGTGTGTGTGGTAGCCTACTGTGTATTGTGATAATAAACTTATTTTAATTTGTTTGTTGGTAATAAATAAAATCAGATTTATTAAGTGATGCAGAACTCATTACTCTTCCCTGAAATCTAATTTTTGCTCAGTTTTATGGTCATACATTCCTTGTAATAATAGAATAGGTACGCAGTAGCTAAACAATATCTATCATGAGAAAAATTATTTTTAAATTAAAGAACAAACAAACATGTGTTAGATGAATATTTATTGATTAAATTAATTTGGAAATGTGATTCCCACCACCTTTGAGCAAACAGGAAAACCCTTTCTTCTTCTTACAAAAATCCAGACTTTCCTTGTTTAGGAAAAAAACTACCAGAGAGAGTAGAGTGAAATGGATACTTAAAGGCTTCTGCCATGGTGCTGCATTTACCCAATGGAATGAATAATTATCTATAATTACTGCATTTTAAATAATTCATCCCAGTGTGGTGGTATAAAGTGGACCCACTGTAACAGCTTTAACAGATTTCTGCTCCTACAGAAGTTCACGTTAGTAAATGAATATTGGTCAAAGAAACGTCAGTGGAACATGGACTAGTTCTTGCAGTAAAGCAGGTTGATGCAATTGATGTCGTTCTGGCTCATCTGCTTGGCCATGTCAGTGCTGCTTGCTGACACTTTAGCATGCATACGCTGCCCTGACAGAAAACTGAGAAAGTAACACCTCTACTGTTTTAAATCAAAAGTAAAATGGACTGCACTTACAAAGAGCCTGTCTAGTGTTCCAACCACTCAAAGCACTCTACAATACATATCTATCATTCACCCATTCACACACTGATGGCAGTGGCTGCCATCAAAGTGCCAACTGCTTCACACCTTCATACGCCGATGGCTTGGCATCATGAGCCGTAGTCGTATGGAGTCCCCTGGTTCAGAGTGCTGATCTTGTTAAAGTTGTATTCCTGACCTGCAGTGGTGAGGGAAGAAGAGCCTTTACTTAAGTACAGGTAGCAACAACACTGTGTAAAAATACTCTATTACAAGTAAAAGTCCTGCATCTGTAACATAACTTCTAAAGTTAGACTAAGAGGTTTTTTTAGTCAAAATAAGTAACTTAAACATAACTTAAGTATCAAAATAATGCAGAACGTCCCCCTTCAAAATATAACATTAAAGTTAAGTTAATTTTCCTTTTGAAGTCTATTATAAGATAATTATTACTGATTCACATAAGCAACATTTTAATATAGTAGCTGCTCAAGGTGGAGCTAATTTAACCAGTTTTACATTCTGTTACTCTAAAAATGTGCCATATTTTTTTAATTCATCATGAGTTTTGAATGTTTTTGTAACTACAGCTGCTAAAAAACTGTAGTCAGTTGAAATGTACAATATTTATTAAGTAAAGTACAAGTACTGTACTTTTCCTACAGTACTTGTGCTTAAGTAGAGCACTTAA